GTGAATGGGCGATAGAATGTTCCCGCAAGGGCACTGAATAGTTGTCAATCAGTTTAGAATCTTGTACTGTACAGGGGCTCGCGTCTCACTGATAGTGCAACTGAAGGTGGTAGATGCTGAAAATAGCCACACGATATAAGCTCGGATTGTCTTGTTCTGGAACTGTGCATTGTGCTATCCTATTTTCCATGTCCTTGACGGCTTGCAGAGACGGCCTAGGCTTCCTCGCCTGGTAGTGCATGCTAATCACATCGCCTAGCAAGGTGCTGATTTCCACGTACTTGACCCAATGAGTGGCCAAGACTTCCAGATTCTCTGGTAAGTAGGATGTCATTTGTGGAGACAGGCCTACAACATCGCTCAGAAAGTCGTTGACAGACGGCATTGGCGTATCGCAGTCGTGGAGGTTGATTCGCAATGGTCTGCCCAGGGTCAGACTCAACCATCGGTCGCGCGAAAAGCAAGTCCACCATAATCTTCGCCAGAGGTGTCGCTGGCGATCCGTGATAGAGGAATTGTAAGTGGACAGATCAGGATCTCGATGAAGGCCTAACATTTGGCAGAAGCTGATGGCAATGCCCATCCAGTACCATGGTTGTGTGTGTTCGTCCGCTTCGGAATGCCAGAACGCCATCAGCAACGATGCTTGCAGTAGAATGATCTTATCCATTTCGCCTCCGTGATTGTACATGAACTTTTCATTGGCCGGTTATCAGCAAGCGCAGCCTAGTGATCCTCATCGGAGAAGCACTCACGTTTGCTCGAGCGTACATCGCCGCCTTCATTTCTTTGCGTGATCCGTACCCTTCCTGCTCGTATACATGGGGAGCAATAAACTGCATATGCTGTCAGTCGAGTTACAATCTAGGCTTCTAGTGCGATCCTCACATTCGACGCCACGAAAAAGATGCACCAGAATATCAAGACGTTATTTTCCGGTAATCGGCCGGTGCGGTGGTGTTCGAGAATTACGTCTGGCTCAAGGATAGGCATGATCGGATGTACGTGATGAAAGTAGGCTCGCAAAAGACTCTCGCATGTTGATGAGCCAGGCATTGTGAATACACCCTTGCTTTCGAGATACTTCTTATCCTCCTCCGCCAAATGAACAGCCGGGCTCGACGGCACGAGGAAATGTCTCGACAGCGACTGGTCGGAAAAGCATATTTCCAAAGCAGATGTTGGCCCAGTTCCTGCTCCTATATGGGATTAGTGTCGACCAAGCTGGTACTCGCTGTAATTTGAGTCCTTACCGGAGTAGAAAGGCACTCTGCCGGCTCTTTGAGGCTGTCCCAACGCAGCGGCAGCAATCTCAAGTCCATAACGCTCCTCGCTTTCTGCGTCATTGGGCAGTAAAGGTGTACCCCTTCTGGATACAGGATCGGTCGCGTATTGATGTATCGTCTCTCGGGGATAATCAGGAGCAGGCGACGAGATAACCTGGGGCCGGGTTGCGCGGCTCACACCCGGCAGGACGTTGTTTGAAGGGGTATGAGGTTGCTGAACTCTAGACGTCCGAGTGCGGCGAAGCCTGAAAAATAACTCTCAGTCAGTCTGGCATATCAATACGATGATAAACTCGCGCCCACCTTTCCTGTCTTTTCGGATCCACGACACATTGTGTGTTATCCTGTGCACACCCGATGCAAGGAATACCGGTAATGTTGAGACTGCATCTCACTTTGCGAAGTCTGCAGGTCTCACAGGCAATTGTCGATCGCTGGTGGCGCCTAGGTGTTGATTTCTGTTGGTTGGTGGGCATTCTAGCGTCTGATTGTCGAGGATCTATCTGGTGCCTGCGGTCATCCGAGGAAGCTGTGGCTGTGGCAGGAATCATGATGTATCAGGCAGATACTAACCTCGGAAAATTGCTGAGATTGCACGCGTTCCGATTGGAGGATATGTTTCCGCTGTGGGGCACAGCTCGGCATGCCGAAAACAGGTCTGGGCTCGGGAATCTCGGCATGTCAAATCATGGCATTCGCTATTTGGGCTCCACCTATGGTCCAGCACACTCTTCATCGTGCCGTTCTTGTACTATCGCTAACACCAAAAGTACCATAGATTTAAACATCTATTCGTTTTACCTAAAGTCTTTCAGTTGCACCTCTCCTTGAGTTACACCCTTCATGGTGCCTCGAAGATGTCTCCTTGGTTAAAATTGTGATTCCTAGTACTGACTTCGGGTTAACCTGGTAGTTGGCCTGTTCGTTGTAGAGGGCTATTAGCAAAGAGGCTTTTGGGGCCTTCGTAGCTGACTGTTGGATGTTGATTCTGAATCAGGACCTACGACGGTATTGGTAGGTAAGTAGATATATATATAGTATATAGCCATGTACACGTGTGAGAGACGAACAATTATTAATAACCTAGGGAAGGAAAAACCACACCTTCAAAGTAATCGACTTAGTTAATGCTACCTAAGACAGATTTTAAAAGCCCCCCCTCCCACCCAAAACGTAAAGTCCAAAACAACCTTGCAAGGAAAAGGGGACAGTGCTGTCAAATAGCATATATTCTATGTGGGAGTTAATCTAACTATATACAAGCACACTCTCGTGGGTACAGCTCGTCCATGGAGGCGAGCTTGGTCCTCTTTGCTTCAACGGCGTTTAGGGATACAGAAATTCTATGCTGCTGTTGGCATCGACTTTGGTGGCCATCTCACCCGCCGTTCTGCGCGTACGTACAGATTGTTGGGTCTGATCAGCTGAAACATGGGGTCATACTCGATAGGCCCGTTGTCCTCCAAGGAGAACTTATAGCGGTAGACCAATTTTGGCAAGAAGACCTTGACCTCTTGGAGTGCAAAGTTGAACCCAATACACATGCGCGGGCCCGTTGCGAAAGGAATATATGCCGCCTTGTGCCTGGACTTTACCTCCTCGGTGTCCCAGCGGTCGGGGTTGAATCGAGCAGGGTTGTCCCAAAGATCAGGATGATTGTGAATATGGTGCAGTGCGGGCACTATAACTGACTCTTTGGACAGCCTGTACCCTCCAGGTAAGACCAGGTCAACCTTTGCTGTTCGGCCCGGCTGGAAGGATGGATTGTGGCGGCGTTGCGTTTCTTTGATATATTTATCAAGGAACTCTAATTTGTCGGTGAAATCAGCCGTGATTTCAGTATTTTCGTCAAATCCTTGATCCACTAATTCTTGGAGAAGGCGTTCTTGCATGCCTGGGTACACACAAAGACCGTAAATGAGCCAGGAAAGAAGAGAGCTTGTTGTAGTGAAACCAGCGGCAGTGGCAACAACTAGTGCCCAGGTTAGACTCGACTTTGGCAGCTTCTCGCCCTTGTTATCAGTCGCACGAATGGCATAGTCTGCTACGGGTCAGCTTTCTCCTGTCTCTTGGACATACCACTAAGAATCAACGATTGTACCTACCAACCATGTTGTCTGCTTTCAGAGCAGCATCTTGCAATGGCAAATCCTCGTTGCCTCCCCGCGAAGCCGCCTCCATCGACTGCGCAACCATGTCCTCGATGCTGGTTTTCAAAGTTCGGAGTCGCTTTGGGTCGCCAAAAGGCAACCCAGCATACCAATTACCCATGGATGTAACTTTCTTATTGAGAGAAAGCAGTTCAGCGATATTATGGACCATCTCATGAACTGGAGCATCCGGTGCTTCAAAATGCTGAAAGTCGAGCCCCAAAACGAGCTTTCCCACCGCCTGTGAACCTAGCTTGAGCATATACTGGTACACGTTCCAAGCCTCGCCCTGTTCATCCAGCGCATCAAAAACCTTGAACGAGTCTTCGACTGTCTTCTGCATAGTTGGGGCGTAGTGCCGGACCGCCTTCGGGCCCAAGGCAGGAGGCAAGAATTTGTGAGTGACTCTCCATTCTTCGGTATCAGTGTCTCCAAGGAAAATGCCAGCAGAGGGGGTCTTAAGCCCCGCCAAGGGGTGCGCTTCATTGATCTTCTTGGTAAAGAAATCCGACTCGGCAAAAACAATCGCTGCTATTCTTGGATCATTGGTCTGGTACGTCACGCGACCTAAGTTATTTGTTTTCACAATGGGGCCATATCGTTCAAAGAGTCGCTGATGGTTTCCGAGATGGTCGGGGTAAACTTCGAAAAAGGTGCCGACGAAAGGTAATTCCCTGGGACAGGGAGGGTCGCGCACGGCGTGTCCGTCGATTGTGAGGGGTACAGGACCAGGTGCTGCCAGCACCTCTGAGAGCTCATTCAAGACAGCTTTATCCCCTTGGAAGCCAATTCCTACGTATTGAGCGTCAGTAAAAGAATGAACGACTGTGAGGATGACACTACCGCCACAGTAACCAGGCTGCCCCTACACCAGCCTTCGCTAATGGCACAGCGCCTTTGCCCACTTTCAGGTAGGATTTGTTCCTTACAAGGTGAGACTTGTTTGTGGTACATGTCGAAATCTCACCTTATAAGAAGCAAACCTTGCCTACTCAAAGGTGTGGCATGAGCGAAGGCTGGTATGGATTTAGCCTGGCCGCTGTGGCGGTAGCCCTGCGGCAGAGGCTACCAACCACTTGGTTCAACGATTGCAAAGTGTGCGGCAATCAAATGTTTCAAATCATCAACATTTGCGGAAGGATCAAACTGAATTTCTCTTGCAGAAGATGGGCTTTCCCCAAGAAGATAGAACGTTTGCGAAGGCATTGTTGATACTGTGGTTGTCCGGCTGATCTTCTACAAATGTGAGTCTTGCATAGCATGATGACACTTATAGATCTTCGCAACGGCAAGGCATCCCGCAGACATCCTGATGCTCGGTCAATTTCTGCTCGACCCACATACAGTCCAAGTCCTCAAGCAGTAGTGCAGATGTGCTGTAAAGGTTCGCATATCGCGTGGCATGATTGTTCCTCGGAAGGATCTGTCACCATCCGAGGCTCGGAGCTGATGGACGGATGAATGGCCAGACCGGCAAGCTCTTCCTCGGAATGGTGAACGCCAACTATATTGGTAGTATCCACACTGACAATTTATGATTTGCGACTGGGATTAGGTATGTTTCAGAAGTATTTGCATACAAATAGAACCGCAGGTCATCACTCTTAAAGCGCTACCAATTTGCTGTCCAGCGCTATAAGCATTTACTTCCGCACACGCCCGTCACCAAGTTTGTCACAATCTGAACATTGCACTCACCACGATGAAGACATTTTCTTTGGAGGAGGTTGGCTCACACAATAGCAAGGTCGATTTGTGGGTTGCTATCCACGGAAAAGGTGAGTGTTCGAAATATCTGAACATTCGTGCTGGGAGCACACTAATGTGCTGAGCTTAGTGTACGATGTCACAAGCTACGTAAAGGATCACCCTGGCGGTGCCGATCTCCTGATTGATGTTGCTGGCCAAGATGCGACGGCGGCGTATGAAGACGTGGGCCATTCAGAGGATGCAAATGAGATTCTGGAATCCTTCCTGATCGGGACATTGAAAGATGCTGTGGAATACAAGGCTCCTACAGCTGTTAGACTTATCCAGCCAACATCGGTGTCGTCACATGAAAAGATGGATGGTTACGACGCTACTCGTACTGTTGGTCTCACTGTTGGCTCGGTTGCCTCGCTATATTTTGCGTCCAAAGCTTTCAGACCACAGCTCAGCCTTCATCATCTAGCTGAGCTTCTTCCCAGTCTGCCGTCCCTGTCATCAATCAGGTTGTCTTCATCCCTACCTCATGGAGGCTTTGCTACTGGAGCAGCCGCCACAGCCTGTATCTGTGCTGTACTAGGCGGCATGGTTGCTTCTCGCCTTTCGAAGCTCACGGAGATTGAGTCGGGTTTCACGAAATACCCACCTCGAATCAAAAGAAAGACTATACACAGGCCAGACCCTCACCTTGTCCCTGGCTTCCTTCAACCGAAAGAATACAAGAGCTTACCACTCGTCGAAAAGACTCTGCTTGCCCCCAACGTCTATCGCTTCGTCTTTCAGCTTCCTCGCAAGGGGGATGTGGTTGGTCTGCCTATCGGGCAACACGTCGCCATCAAAGCAACCGTCAACGGCCAATCAGTTTCGCGATCATACACCCCGACGTCAAACAATCTTGACTTGGGTAGACTGGAGTTGGTTATCAAGTGTTACCCCGATGGCTTGCTCACAGGCCAGTACCTTGCCAACCTCAATGTCGGTGACCAAGTCCTCTTCCGTGGGCCCAAAGGCGCGATGCGATACAAGAGGAATCTCTGCAAAAAGATCGGCATGATAGCTGGCGGCACAGGGATCACACCTATGTTCCAACTTATTCGGGCAATCTGTGAAGACGACAAGGATACCACCGAGATCTCTCTTGTTTACGCCAACCGTACGGAAGATGATATTCTCCTGCGAACAGAGCTGGAAGCATTTGCATCTGCGTATCCAAGATCGTTGAAAATCTGGTACATGTTGGATCAGCCTCCGAATGATTGGCAGTATGGCAAGGGCTACGTGACGCCCGATGTGATGCGTGAAAAGCTCCCTGAGCCTGGTCCAGACACTAGGATCATGCTTTGTGGTCCCCCTGGCATGGTCCATGCTGCCAAGAAAGGTTTGGCTGGTCTAGGATTTCAATCCCCAGGAGCGGTGGCGAAAATGACGGATCAAATCTTCTCTTTTTAGAACGCTCTCTTGAGCACTTATCCTGCATTTGTTCCCATTAGACTTATGTATATAAAGTTTATTTAGCTCATACAATTCATTTGGCTTCCCTCATCCCTGAATTTCGGCCTTTATGAACCCGCTTGTCGGTTCATATTTTCACTGATAGAGTCGTGCGGCTTTGATAATTCATTAAATTAGAATAATGTTGACCCCGCATAAAGAAAGCCACAGCCGACTCTGCTAGAGCGTGAGGCAAGAATGTAAGAGAACAACAATTTACTTCATTTCCACACTCGGAGAAAGTTATTTTAGTGAAGCACTGAAGACACAGTAGTGCCAAAATCAGACTAGCTTGAACGTTTAGCCTTACCGTAACAAGTAGGAGTATGCGTGTACCGTTTCCTTAAAAGGTGCCCACTTACCTTGGTTGAATTTCTCCGAGATGAAAAGTGTCGGCATGCCGAGCACCCCCGAATTAGATCCGTCCCCGCCAATCGGAACGCAGGAGCCGGAACGTCTTTCCGAGGTAAGTATCCCGTCTAGACCCGCCGCAGCGGTGATGTTATCGAGGATGGCAATACGAAAGCAAGGCACCATGGGGCACTCAGGTGCATCAATTCGAAACAGTAATGTTTAGAAGATCCGAGGATACTCAAAGCTGCCCTATCAAGGAATACCCTCGGTGGTGCAGAAGCCACGGTTAACTCGGGACATACTTGATGGATGTAGAGCCAGACATTGCCATTATTGGAGAAGGAGTGGAGTCGGTGATGCATCATATTTGCTTTAAAAGATGAAAGTGCCCTTTCAATAGGTTACGACGAGCTCTCTAGATATGCAATAAATTCTAACTTTACATTCAACTCGAATCGAGACATCAAACCAAGAGGACCATACACCAACCACACCTGCAACAATGACTCCAACCTGGCAACCACCTAACGACTACCGCGAACGTCCTGTAGCAGTTCTCGGTGGTGGCGTTTTAGGACGTCGTATTGGTAGAAGATCCTGACCTCCAGGTTGACAAACAATGCATAACACAGCTGACCAACTTTCCAGCCTGCATCTGGGCATCAGCAGGTTACAACGTCCACGTCCGTGACCCGAGCCCCCAGCAACGCGCAGACTGCATCACCTACGTAAATGAGAATGTCGCCTCATATGCTGTACACACAGGAGCGAGCCCCGGCCCCATCACAGCATTCGAGGATTTAGCGGCGGCAATAGAGAATGCGTGGCTCGTCATAGAGTGCGTTCCTGAGGTTCTCCAACTCAAGATCGACACCTTCGCAGAGCTAGAGAAACATGCTCCGACAGACTGCATTTTGGCAACCAACTCATCCTCATATCGCTCCTCAGAAATGTTGGACAAGGTGTCAGTCGCAACGAAGACCCGTATCATGAACATGCACTACTACATGCCTCCACAGGTCATGGTTGTGGAACTGATGACGGATGGATTCACAGAGCCATCAATTCTTCATTTCATGGCTGAGCGCTCGAAAGAGGTGGCGACCAAGCCTTACATTGCGAGGAAGGAATCTACTGGGTTTATTTTCAACCGTTTGTGGGCTGCTGTTAAGCGCGAGGCTCTTACTATTCTGGCTGAGGATGTTTCGACGCCGAGCGAGATTGACTCACTATGGACTGAGATGTTTGTGAAGGGAGGGACGCTACCTTGCAAGATGATGGATGGTATGCCTTACCCTGTACACTACTAACTCCACGGTTTATGCTGATTATTTTATTGCTACAGCTGTTGGACTTGACACCGTGGCTTTCATCGAAAAGCACTATATCGCTGAACGAGGTCTCGATTCTGAGAAGACCGTCGATTTTCTCCAAACGAACTATCTTGACCATGGCAAACTTGGAAATAAATCCTCCAAAGGGGGGCTTTATCCGCCCGCGGAAGAGAAATAAGCTGCAACTGTTGTTATTAGTCTCGCTGCCTAGATCTAGAGTATTTGACCTCAAATTGTGATATTAATTTCTGTTTCTATGGCAGGAATTTAGCGAGTATAAATGCTATGAATAATACCCTAACTGCATAGTGGATAGTTTCACTAAAGTATCTTATCAATTAGTTAGTGTGGCCGAGTGGTTAAGGCGTCAGACTCGAAATCTGATACGTTCGCGTGCACAGTCGAATCCTGTCGCTGACGGTTAATATTTTCTTTAGTCTTGTTTTTGTTTTTCCTTCCCGCAACTTATCTTGCTATTCATCAACTTGGTTGCTTTCAGTTGAGTGATTGATTTGTTACGGCTTCATTCTTATTTCCGCGCGTGATGAGGTGGGACCAGCAATGTCGCTTGACATTTCCGTACCCCAACTATTACCTGAAACTCTACATATGTTTGGCAGTAAGTACATAGTCGATAACCACTGGATCGCCTCATGAGGATAATTAACCAACTATCCCACAACTCTCACCACCACTGATCTCTAGGCCCCTTCCTCAACTCCCCAATAGCCCCCTTCCCGTTTCCATACGTATCAGCATACCTCCATGACATCCACTCCCCAACCGCAACCGGGGGATACTTCACGCCTTGTTTACCCTCACAGCTCCGAAAGCAACGAATCATATAGTCCGGGTTCCCGACGAAGAAGAAGAAGAAGAATAAGAAGGGCACGCTAAATATGTCTTTACCAAGATAGCAGTCATTCGTCCATCGCATTATATACGCACATCGATCTCAGCATCCACACACCCCAAAGTATCTCGGAAACGAGATTACCTCCCTAACCGACTCAGTCCCAGTCAAATACTGCAAAAGTCGCTCAAAGCCAATCCCAAAGCCCCCGTGCGGCGACGTTCCCCACCGGCGCAAGTCGGCGAACCATTCCACCGACTGAAGTTCCTCCCCAGGATGGAGGTAAGGATACGGCTTTGCATCAACAGGGGCATTCCGTTCTGGCACAGGGCCGGGCTTCTGTCCCCGTAGGAACCGTTTCTTGCGCATAGTATCAATCAGAATATCGAGACGGTGTTCCCTTAAGCCACCGCTGCACACCTCTCCGATCCCTGGTAAGAGCAGATCGAAAGACTCAGTTGTCTGGTCAGGAGGGAAGTCCTGACCGGGCGGTATTTCGCTTATATCCTTGGCAGATTGGGCAGCTTGGAAGAGCCGGATCTGGGTTGGGAAGTGCGTTAGGAAGACTGGAGAGTTAAAGTGATCGCAGAGGTACTTTTCTTCTTCTGGTGTGACGTCCTGTACTCTTGCTGCCGGGGTTTTGCCTTTTGTCGCACGAAGAGGCTCAAGAAGCTTTGTCGCCTCGGCAAAAGTGATTCGCGGCCAATTGGGTGATAATAGCTTCTCCCACCGCCGAAGAAGCTCGTCGGACCCCGATTGTGATAGGATTTCTTGTCCTGCTGGACTGGTCTTCAAACGTGAAACAATACTGCGTAGAATTTCTTCCATGAGGTTAAATAGTGGCTCGAGAGAGTCAATGTAATTCAGTGCAACCTCGAGCATCCAAAACTCAGCCAGATGACGGCTACTGTCCGTCCGTTCTGCTCTCCAGCAAGGGCTTAATGTCCAGATACGATCGAGACTCTGTACGAATGCTTCTGCATGGAAGACCGCAGACACATTGAGGTATTTTCGGGAACCAAAGTATGTGTCGGTCATCTCCTTGTCGGCACGCTTGGAGCGCTGCGTTGGAGCGGCAAACACTTCCGCGCCTCCTTCACAGTCCGTCCAGGTGAGCATGGGAAGATGTACCTGATAAAATGGTCCGTCTGGGTGTGTGTCAAAGAGGTTGGAAAGTGCGCTCACAACAGTGGAGCGAAATCGTGCCATGAGGGCATATTGTGGGGTGCGGATACGCAAGTGTGGGTTGAGGTGTAGAAATTCCGGAGACGGTTGACGGTGAGAAATAGGGAAGGCAGAGTCGGCTGGACCAACGATTGTGAAGTCTTTCACGCTTAAGGTTGCTTGCTGCTTCTGGTGACTAAGGCATGATGTTGCCTCACGGGGCTCGAGTCTGCCCTGGAGTTGAATTGTAGCTCCCAGTGAAAGAGAAGAATCATCATCTGGCCGAACGGCGGGCATTCGAGCTTGGATTGATGAGATGGTTGAGCCATCATTTATAGTGATAGCTGTGCATTCCTCACTGTGTTGTACATCTTGTACGGTTCCGCAGATGATAATATCGTCCGAGGTGGTGGCCTCTAAGGCGTCCTTAATAGGAACTCTTCTGTCCATATTGAAGCTCAACCCGTATCCTCTCAGTGCACTGGAGCTGAGTTGCCTTGCTGGCTTTGTTATACGGAGAATGAGCAAATTTATCTACAGGGATAGAGTCTTTTCTCCAAATTCTATCTGCTGGTAGGATCGCCAATTGCGGGAATGAGGTAAAACCATCTACTCAGCTCGACCTCGCCACCCCATCGCAGCATCGGGAGTGATCTATCTCATTTCCACTCTAGGCAGGGATATTCATTCTCCGCCCGAGCTAGACGGTGCTTCGAAAATTATAGGTTCATGCTTTAAAAGTTCCACGTTCATGGTATCTAAATACCGAGTTGGTGCGGCGAGGAGTATTTTACCTACTATTCACAACCCAACTTAGCCGTAGTCGATTGCATTTTTATCTCTGGATTTACCTTGATTCTAGCCGAACAAAGATCGAGTCCATTCGAAGCGTATTTTCATCATTACGCTGACCTTACTGATCGTTGAGATTGATGTGGTACATAACCAGAAATTCGACCGAGTTCATTGTATATGTTTTTCAGACAGAAACTACAGATCAGTATATTACAGCTCTTCAAGACAAATTGGTCTTCTACGGGCTCCGTGCACCCGATGCATGATCTTGTGCGATTACGCCACCGGTTAGTGATGCAACCCCAGCGATTGTTATCACATTGTCACACTCGGACAAATTTCTTATCAGCTTGATTAGCGGTGAGTCTCAGTATGATTCTCAGGAAACGTAAGTTCAGTAGGCTCAGAAGTGATACCTCGCTAATGCAAGTGCAAATCCCGAAGATCGCATTTTGGTCAAGGCTCTGACAAACACAGCTAACACTGCTTCTGCAAACTCAATCTGATTTCTAAACCTGGCTAGCAGCTTACAAGTGGTGTGCCTCGGAGACTTTAGTATGTATTAGTGGCTTGGCTGGTTCTTAGTACACTTTCCAGTCCACTTGGTCCCACAACTTCACGGCTAATCACGTACACTAGAGGCTACAGCAAGATGAGGGTCCATGTACGGAGTAGTATGCCAACAAGCCGATGATTGCGAAGACTGCATCTACATTAGTGCATAACATACGCGCATGCTGTGACAGACAATGCTCAAGTTCTGAAATGTTTTATTAAAATAGATATTTATGCAAAAGAACCCCATGCAACAACACCCCAATACCACGGGCTAATGCCCCTCAGGAGATCTTATCATGTTTTCTTTTGACGGTCTGGGCAGAACTGCAAGCGAACAACCGCCCTCCCCCAAATTAGAAATCACTCTTTGGACTAAGGATGTACATATTGCAAATTTCGTTCCATTTCCATTATATTCTTACATGCGGGTTACCCGAGTTGGGGGTTGTCGGGTTATCCGTGCGGCTGAGCTGCCGGTAGGCGATATTGCTTTTGTTCCTTTTAGTGCCTGAATTTCAGGACTTGGTTGCCCCCCTGCACCCTACCTGCGTAAGCACTAATTCGATGATCTGGACCTGTTGAGTTGCAAATACCAGAACACATCTATTCAATCGCGGCTACGGACCACACGGTACAGCCGCCCCACCTCAGCCTCAGCTGAACCCGATCGGGTGGATCGGTCGCGATGGAACCTACCAGCTAAGGTGGGGTGCTGCAGTGATAAAGTAGATGTATCACCAGTCAGGATCAAGATGGATGCCGAAAGATTTGCCCGGGATATTGAGTAGGGTCATCCGTTATCGGCATCGGAATGCGCTCAATGTAGACATTTGACCATGTATGCTGATCAATGTGGACTGTACCTCTTTGGAGCCTGGGCCTGTGGGTGACCACAATAGAGAAAAAGAAGTACAAAGCGCAGGTAGCAGTAAACTATTTGTCTTTCGCGCTATCCAGACGTACATCCCGCATACCAGTCACTAAGATTCCGCAGAGGCATCGAAATGTCGGGATCATACACCGAAACCGTTACAAGTGACTCAAACCAGAAGGAGAAGAAACTTGACCTCCAAACATGTCCACCTTACCACATTGAGAAGCGACCACATAATTTGGGGCAATTCCCGTTAGATTCTCCAAGACTGGTGTGCGCTCATCTGACGACTTGGGTGCTTTACTTCGGCTACTTGGCGTGGCGGGTAAAGCTCACCTTGGGCCTGTCGGTACCAAATAAAGCTGTCTGGTGCTTTTTGTGGCTCAATGTTTTGATAGAAGTGACAAGCACCATTCTGGAGTTTCTCTCGCGGTTTGAGACGTTCCTCTATATCGGATGGGGCCGGAGACCGGTCCATCGGCCCTCTTTCTATCTGCATGGAGAGCATGCGCCAACAGTCGACATCTGCATTACTTGTTGCGGAGAGCCGCTGGATGGGATTATGGACACAATCGCTGGTGCGGCTTCTCAAGATTATCCTCAAGACCGATTTCGTGTTTTTCTACTCGATGATGCGAGGGATACCGAGTTACAAAAGGCAGTGAAGAAGTTCAATAACGGGCGACACGGCTTTCAGAAAGTTGTGTACCTTGCTCGGGAAAAGCCGCCTGGTGTCCCACATTATTACAAGGCGGGTAACCTGCGATACGGCCTGGAAGAGAGTGCTCGTCGGAACGGAGGCTCTGAGTTCGTTGCAGGCCTGGATGTGGATATGATTCCTGTCAAAGACTGGCTGAGGCGTGTTGTTCCTCAGTTGTTGGTGGACGGAAGCGCAGCAATGGCTGTCCCACCGCAGGTATAATTACCCGCTCTTTCCAATCTCCTTTCGTGTAATTGGCTAACACGGATGTAGCGATTCTACAATGCTCCCAAGGGTGATCCCCTCGGGCAGGACACAAATGTCTTCGCGGGTCTGTCCGAACCGATCAATGACAGTTTGGGAGGAACATGTTGCACTGGTTCCGGATATGTCATGCGGCGCAGCGCTTTGGATAGCATCGGTGGCTGGCCTCTGCAGAATGCAGGTGAAGATATCTTATGTGCTTGGCTTCTGGCCGACAAAAGCTGGCGCATTACGTTTGTGAGAGACGAAGTGCAGTATGGCCTGGCTCCTGATTCCTTGGCTGCGTGGTTCAAGCAACGTGCACGATGGGTAAGTCTACTCACTAATATTTCCGAGTATTGATCATTAACCTCAGGCAGACGGATGGAAACATCCTTTCATACCGAAAACTTGGCTGGTTCTTCTTCAACACTGGTGTCCCTGGTCAGAGAAGCCTACTACAGCGCATCGTAGGCTTCTGCCACGTTGTCAAAACCTACACAGCTATTCCGAACATCTTTATGATCCTCTTTGTTCCGTGGATCTCATGGCCTGTGGTATCAGGAACGAGCACTGTGTCTGCCTCGCAGGAAAAGCAAATGCGACGACTATACCTTGTGCTTCTAACGGCCACAATACTACACAAATTCTGCTACATCCGCATGCACGGCGGTATCGGTATCCAAGCAGCCAAGAACCAACAAGCAAACCGGTTCTGGAACACGCCACGTGAGTTCCTTACCCAGATTGCATGTCGCACTACCACCATAGCATTAGCTAACTTCTCTACAGTAAACGCCACCCGCATCTTCCGTTCATGGATACCCGGCAACATCGTCAGCTTCGAAATCACCGGCACGGTAGTCTCGTCAATAAACGAGCGATCCGCCCGTCACCGAAAGCCATTCTGGACTCGGGTATGCACTCCGATGATCCTTATGTACGTGGGATGGATTTCGTATGCTATGATACCAGTTATCTGGCGGTTGTGGTTCTACGCTACTAGGCCGGAAGGACTTATGGGGGGTACGTTGGTTTCACCTAGTCCAGGAGCAGTCGTGTTTCTATTCTCTGCTAACATGAAGCTCTCTGTGCCAGTGCGGTATATGGCGCAGCCGCCCACTGTGCCTGAGAGACGCCAATTGCTGAGTAAAGATACGGATGGGGTCTATCGGCCGAGCACATTCCACCGCCCTTCGGATAAAATGGTGAGCTGGAAAGATGTGGTAGAGGTATTGATCATCGTATGCGGAAGCTTGGGTGTTCTTTGAATTGGACGACTTACTCAGCTAGTGAGGTATATTTTAGGTGGGGGGGATATATGTAGAAGCATAGAAAATAGAAGCAAAGAAGCAAATGGTGATAGAATGTTAAGAGGAAATGCTGAAGGCCTTCGGACCTGTACAGAGTTAGTCAGGTGTCTGTGCCTGTGGATTGCATCTATTTGTATTTGCTGATTATGCGTGAAAGGTGCAGCGAACAACGCCTTGTTCAAAACCATATGTTGTTTCAAGTGCTTCTGCAAGTTTTGGATGGTTTGATAGCGTTTGCGGCCATATAATTGTTCCGTACAATGAAGAAATTGCATAGCTAGCATGTCACATAGTAAGCAAGCTCAATCAGGCTATATCAGATAACATTAAGATATGAATCTGACTATAAGACCCTTAAAAATAACACTACATCTATCATCGACGAGCAAAAATATCCTTGTATAGCAATTCCCTCTCTGCATCCGTCTCCACCATGTCCCTGAAAGCCCCATTCTTCCGGCGCATAAGCTCCGCGGGACTACCGAACTCCAGCACCGTGCCGCCTCCCAACACAAGAATACGGTCAAAGTCAGCAACTGTACTGAGGCGATGAGCAACCACCAGCAACGTAGTGCCATTCCGACCGAACTCCGACCGGATTGAACGTTGCACGAGACCGTCTGTTTCCTTATCCACTGCGGATGTCGCTTCGTCTAGGACCAAAATACGCGGCATCCGGAGCAGTTCGCGAGCGAGGCAAAGCAGCTGTCGTTGGCCGTGTGAAAGGTTGGAGCCACCGTCTGATACTGGGTGATCCAGTATTGATGGGTCTTGTCCAAGAGTTATATTAGTGCAAATGTGCTGGTGGTTGTCCGAGGACGTGGCACTGCTCCAATTAACACGGGAAAGAGCGCGGATGAGTTGTGCGTCTTCACAGTTGCCTAAGGGATCAAGGTTCGACCTCACTGTTCCCTTGAAGAGGAATGGGGACTGCGGAATAATGGCCAGTCGGCTTCGGATGTCGTGTAGTCGGATAGTGGAGATATCAAGACCATCGATGAGAATCTGTCCTGCGCATGGTTCGAGAACGCGGAACAGTGACAGGGCCAAGGATGACTTCCCAGCTCCGGTTCTTCCGACTATGCCAATTCGCTGGTTACGTTCCACCCTGAAGGTGACATTATGTAATGCTGGCTCTATGTCAGGTGCATATTGTACTGATAAGTTCCTGACTTCGAGTGTTCCATCGTAGGGCCAGCCGGCAGGGGCGGGATTGCCACCGTCGCTCTCGGTCTCCATATGGCAGTACTCTAGGACTCTTTCCACACTATTCAGATCGAGTTCCAAAGACGCATAATTGCGAATCCCAAATGATATCGACTGAGTGAGCTTCAGGGTGAAATTAATGGCGAACCCGGCAATTGACGCCTCTACCTCAAGCAAAACCACAGCAGCCGCGCAAATCGCAGTAAAGACAGCCCCGATCATATCCAAACGGACGGCTAGCCACTGATTAAACAGCCAACTGTGCCATTGAGTACGTGCGCGACGATCTAAGCGCTGTCGGAACTGTTCCTGATAGACACGAGTTTTCCCGAATGCCCGAATCGTCCACAAACCGGCCATACATGACTCGAGGTGGTCGTAAATCGGACTGCGAGCCACGCTGTCAAGTCGCTTTATCTGTCGCGCAGCTACCAAGTACCAATTAGCATACCTGGCGGTAATCAGCCCCAGAATGAAGCTGGAAATAAGTGAGAGTGGGTTGATGATTAGGCTTGGGACTACAGCCATCAGGACATCCATTCCGTAAGACAAAATGGCTCGCATGTCGTCTCCCAGTTGAGAGTCCACGAGATTAAAGTCATTTGAGAAACGGTTGAGTATTCGTCCAAGAGGCACTGTGTCAATCCAACGCAGGGGCATCCGGAGGACTTGGTGGAGAAAGCGACGAAAAAGAACCTCCGAAGCCCTTAAAGAGCCGATCATCGCGAAGTAACTGCGAGTTGCACCGACTGTGCACACTAGCACAGACAAGGTAATGTAAATTTGGCGTAGTATGACACATTGTATTGCTCATCTGATGCTTGGCTTTGGTAGGATTGGCTCCATTTTCCAAGCCACCAGGTCTGTGAGAGCATGAGTACAGTTTCTGTTTTGACCTGGGAGTTAGGAACTTACCCTGCTCAACATGAGTACGCTATAGCTTAGAAAGGCCATCACTAAGCACATCCAGTAGGAACGAGTGCCGCTCTGCTGGATATAATTTTGCAGGACGGTCCATTTGACAGCTCCTTTCTCCCTAGTCTCTTCGACTATGAACTTTTGGGACGATCTGACAGTCGCGTCGTTATCGGAGCTGCTGTGGCTGACTCCCTTTACGAAGGGCTTTATATCTAGATGATCCGTCCAACTGTCATCCACCTCGTCCTGTGTTTCTGGGTTCGCGACGGGACTGAAGTGTGCGGTACATCCATTAACGTGCACTATGCCTTGAGCATGATCCCGGCATAAGGGCACATGATGAGTTACAAGAATACGCGTCCTATTCCGTGCAAGTGGCCCAGCCAGAGCATAGTGGCATAAATGGGCAGCCGTGTGTACATCAACGGAGCTGAATATATCATCCAAGAGCAGAACCGTTGCTCTGGAATACAGCGCTCGGGCTAAACAAAGACGGGCCTTTTGCCCACCGCTCAGATTAAGTCCGTTTGGACCCAGCTGAGTCTCGTCCCCATCCACCATGGCTTGCAGATCTGACTCCAGTACACATGCAAAAATCACTTGCTTATACCTTCCAGCGTCAAACGGCAAGCCAAACAAGATATTATCTCGGATGGTAAGAGCTTCTATCCAAGGCGTTTGTGCAACATAGGCGATGGTGTCTTCTAAGAGCCACCCATGGTACTTTTCAGAGATAGGGGTCCAAACTCTTCCAGTTGGGGCTTTGAAGGTACCGTTGAGAATGTCACACTCTCCCAACATTGCCGCCAACAGAAGGCTCTTGCCAGCACCCGTGGGCCCCGTAATCAGGGTCAAGCAGTTTTGTGGAATACTCATATTCACGTTTTTCAGAACCTCGGCATTGTAGCCACTGCTTCCTCGCCATGTCAACGAAGCTTCACAAAAATCGATACTTCTGGAAGGCAAAACAGCTGGTAAATGTTGAAGTGTATTCAAGTACTCGGAGAGACGCTTGGCACTGCGTATACAGTTAGAACCAGCAGTGATCACACTGGGCACTGCATTAAGTGAATTTTGAACGGTGTTCAGAATTGACATAGCGGTAAATGCTGTGGCCGGCGACAGGCTTCCATGTAGCAGTGAGTACACAGTCAGCAGCACGGTTGACAGGACCGTTGGTGTCAATAGATAGAACGACATCAAAACAAGATTCCACTGGAAGGCCTCTCTTTGCACCTCCAGCTCTCCCGCGCGTAATGCATTGATTTCCTCTTCCCATTGCTCCTCCGTGGCAGAGAACTTGATTTGACGAATGCCGTGAAGAGCTTCGGTGACAGAGGCAAGCTTTTGATCACGATATTCCATCAATGCCTTCTGAGAACGGGAATATCGCTCGATCGCATAGTTGTTCAATGGCCAAAATAGGAATAGGATCAGAATGCTGACGGATAGGCTTTGCCAACCGACAAGCCTTATAAGGACCACGGAGGATATCAGAAGTCGCAGCGGTGTCTCATAGACTGAGAAAGAGTTCGAAACGAAATCGGAAACACGCTTCACATCCACTGCCATCAGATTGGTTAGGTTTCCGGAGCATTGCTTGCTTCCCATGCAACCATCCTCCGAATCTGCAGACCGGCCTGTGCCAGGGAAGCTGTCAAAGGTGACTGCTTTATCAAAGAGTGCAACCATAAGATGGTTCTGCAAGCGGAGTGATAATGATCGATACGAGATCCAGTATCTTCTGTGGTCTAATACCGCTGATACTACAAGTGGGAGGCACAGGCCAAGCACATATACCCAGGCACTAGATCCTCTGCGATCCTCTTCTATAGAACGCAGAAGACCGAATAGAGCAGCTTGGGGGGCGAAACCCAAAACAACGCAAGCGACTGTCAACAATGCCAGACTTGGCAGTAATTTATAGGCAAGATGCCATACAATGCTTATAAAGTGCTGCTTGCTGGTGTGTAATCCATCACTCTGCTTGACAGAGAATGCGCTTCGTAGACCTATGGCACCGTACTCACTTGGGACCTGGGGAAGGTCTTTAATTTCGAGTGAGCTCGTTCGATTGGCAATGTATAGAATGGGCCCTGCCCAGCGGAACGTCCAACGACCAAATAAGCCGGTGCTGCCTTCTCGGTCAAAGGTTCCTCCTTCTGGAAGAACATTATATGATCCAGAAAGCGACACCCTTCTGAAGGCACTTGCGAGGATCCTCCATAATCTCATCTTTTGTGGCCTTTCCTGTATTGCACTTTCCTCGGAAATGACTCCGCCGGGTATCTGTCTTGCCGATAGCAGTGGGTAGCGGGACGAAATGCAGGAACAAACACGGTAGGCACTCAGTATGTATGCTAGATGGTTTGTGATAGGAAGAGGCGTATAATCGAATGCTTGACTAGTCAACTTCTCGACGAGCTCTATTCTCACCGCCTCTCTACTCGCATGATTGATTTGATTCCCCAGGCGCAACATATTGCTTTGTCAGTAAGTGTATATCTAGTGCTAAGATAGCGTCCAATATTATGTAGTGTGATATACGTAACTATGGGATCGATAAAGCTAAAGGTCTGTAAGTTTGACTAAGTATTGAGTGCTCCTAGCCAGAGAGAGAGCGGAGAGGATAAATGCATTGCGGGGTTCGCCGATCGGCAATTGAGGTGGCTGGACTCTGTACGGAGTTTTGAAATTTGCAATCTGTAACTAGATACTGGAATGAAAGACTTATTCAGCTGAAGTGGGTCTATTGGCCTACGCTCACCACTCCCTAGGTATTTCCTACTGCATGCCATGACTCGGGTATCTGATCGTCCGGATTTGACCTAGGACATGCCCGGATGCTCCTCTTTGAGGCCTGTGTGCATAGGGTGTGGATTTCAGCTGAACTCTGCATATCTCGCGAATATCTCCTGTCCGACATCGGTCGCACCAATTCTTATCATCTATGGAGTGTTCCCTACAAACTACACAACTACCTTATCATATGATGGGCAAACAGCTATAGTCTTACCACCCAGGTGAAGGAAAGACACACTGCTCACTGCTGCCTTGCGAAGATGAATTTATGCATCGTGTTGGGCTCTTGTGACATGCATACCCTGTGCCTAAGGCATGGCTTTCCGATCGGAAAAAAAAAAAAAAAAATACGCAAACATATAGTCCTATGTTGGGACACATATCTCTCCGTCGCCTGGCTAGAACCACGCGATATATCGTTTTTGGTCTAGCGGTTCGTGCTTCGACATCCTACAACGGACCCGGTACACTGAGGATACTGGGCGAACAACAAAATTCCCAAATCTGATACTACCCTTTGATCCACAACGGAGGCACTGATCAGAGAATTTTGATTTCTACTCCTATTACCATACATTTTAAAGAAAGTTTGAGGACACCTGCAAACGAGAAGGCTTAAGTGTGACTAGAGCTTGGGCTTGATTGCATCGTTTCACCCTACTAAAGATCACCCATCCTCAACACTATGAATAGGCCGCAATGGCCTTCTTGAACGCAGCCGAAATTTCATTTAGAATCAATGGCGCCAACTCCGCATACGTCCCTGACAACTTGTCCTGTACCGCTGACCCCAACGCCTTCGATAGAATGCTCAACTCTTGCAAATCAAACTTGACTAAGAAACTCAATGATGCGATTCCCAACAACCCATCGTCAAAATCAGACTTTTTCGACACAATGTTGGCCAGTGTAGATGCGATCTGTGGCTCCAGCGTAACGAAGGCTTCCGCTACCTTCTGCGATTCGGTGTCGGTGAAATTGGCAGACTGCCGGGTCACTTTGATTGCAGTCTTCAGATCGACTTCGAGCTGGATTGTTTCCGCTTGGATTTGCAATGCAGATAATGTTCCTTCAATACCGCCCGGGTAGTTGCTCACGGTGGTGTTGAGGGTAATCAGCTGGGTAGAGATAGTGTTCACGGCGGAGACGACGCTGGAGCCATCTCGCTTGGTTGGTAAGAGAACTTTCGCCGGTGTTGCAGTAGCTACTGCTACTGTGGCAGTGAAAAGTAAGGTGAGGAGGTACAAGAAGTTCATGTTTGTGGGTGGTGCTCACTTGGCAACTACAGAATGACTCGGTCAAACACCCATGCATTTGATTTATACACAGTTTTGATAATGACTCGATCACCTCATTTTAACCCCGCTTCTTAGCTGCCAGCCTTCTCCGATTGATGTGACATTCAGCCTGTACAGCTAATTTACTGGTGCTGACTCTCATGGTCCCCGCATGACGCTATTATTGCTTCTACGAATCAAGCTGATTGATGATCTTCGAAATTGCCTCAACAGGAATAGTGGCCCGGTCCCTTAATTACATTTGCAGCTGGACGGGCTGCATTTTTCCCTTGTAGCTCAGATTTATATTAACCATCTAATCTAACAGGGTTCATGTTCCTTGCAAAGGTTGGTTCTAAGTCAAGCCACCGTGTGATAGCATGTGCTTCCGAGGTCTAGAGGACCCTGCTATTTATCGCTCAGCCCGCCACGAATTTTCCGAGCATGTGACTCTCAATCAGCAAAACAATCCTAGGTTGCAAATTGACTATCTTAGCAATCTCTATAAAATACTCGCTTTATTCTATTTACAGCGGAGTTTGCTCCGATGGTATTAGTTGTCGTCTGAATAGCTTCCAGTGTACCGACAAGCCCACCCTTCTCTTTCATGCCTTTCATCAACCATCAGTACTATTACTCTTCATTTCGCTACAGAGCTATCTTGCTACTATCCAGTATTTGCATAGAAACAATAAAGACACAAAAGGCAGAGAATGTCTTTTCATTGTGAAGTAACTCGGAGATGAGCTTCACTGGGATCATCATTGAGCTTTACCCTGTTCATTACATCTTGTCTCACAATTATTGGAGGCGAAGATGCTCAAGTGCATGCAAATATCAATAGGCCTTTCCAAAATACGCTTGAGAAATAGTTAAAGTTTAGAAGATGGTTGTCGACCGTTTTACGGCCGCCAAACAAAGCATCTGCCAGATCACTAGGTCAGGATTAGAGGGTAGCAATCTTTCATTAGATTACTTGAGTAAATATAAATTGATATGTTTCATCTATATATATAAAGTTAAACAATCTATAATGTTTGCACATTACTAAGGATGCTATCCACTGATATGCACCGTAACATATACCTGATGTAACTAATTATTGATTGTATACTGCTGAGTAAACGCATTATGCCTGACTAAGTGGTGACTCGATTCCTGAATAACCAAGTATGTAGAAATGCTCATCCATAGTAAGACAATACCCGAGCGCCTCAGGTACGCCCGGATTCTATTTCCTCCATTCCTCTCTTCATTCTCCTCCTTATCCCTCCTTCATGCCATAAAACCTAACTCTCAAAGAAAAAAAACACGAAGTAGGTAATAGAACAATATGCTACAGCATAGAAGGCTCGTCACCACACTTATACACCCAACTACTGTAAATATACAGCACAACGCAAGGCAAAGCACAGTTATATAGATTGTAAAAAATTGAATGAGTGGGACAGCTGGCTAGTTAACTGCCTACACAGCTTGTCGATGCGCAATTTTGGTAGCACTCAAGGGGAGCTCCCATGTTAGTGTCGATCGATCGATTGCACTACATTTTTTTCCTAAGTACGTATGCAAAGGTAGGGTGGAATCATTGTACCAACCTGCCGACATCCGGGATCTAGTTAGTTACTCGATTATCGGTCATCCCCTATAATCCTTTCCTCTCTCTGTGTAAGTTTTTCACTCAAATAACGCCAATACTGTTAAGTGCTGAACGGCCTTCAAGACTAAGTGTACGTATTTCCTCAGAACATATCAGGAGAAAAGGAAAACTTTCACAGAGCTGAATAAATGCACTGATAAAGCCATGGATATACAGTAGCTAGTAGATAACGTTGTCGACTTATATTATCTTGTAAGTAAAGCATCCACTATGGGTGGTTGATAAGTAACAGGAAACTGACCTAATTCAATCATTGGAACTGTGAACCAACTTACTTATAAGGTCTGTTTGGTTAGACCACACTGCAAGCGCGTGGGTGGCTTTTTCCAGAAGCTTGCACGGGTCAGTGGTTCGACTGAGTGTCCGAGTTAGTTTCTTCCAGGATACCTATTGGCAAGCTTTCTCTACCTTGCTTCATCCCTGCGCTAGCTCTAGGCAGCTATGACGAGAACGCCGCCCTATTTTACACATTGGCAATCACGATATAAACTCTCCATTACAACGATCTACCACATACGACCATAGGGTGTGGAAAACAGGGCTTCCCGTCCGCTCAGCCGTACTTAAGCCACACGCCGGGAGGTTAGTAGTTGGGTGGGTGACCACCAGCGAATCCCT